TTTTTAAGGTCAAAAATAGTCAAATATTGGCAGTTTCATGGTTCAGCCTAGTAGTTTTGTTGGATAAACAGACCACTTAATTGCTGGGATTCACTATGACCACTATTTCTAATTGAGTTTGCTTCTTTCTCCAGCACTGGTCTTGATTCTTCCCCTCAGTCTTTATTCCCTACTCACCAGTGATGATTGCAGTTTGCTATTCCAGATGAGTTTATTGGAAGAACTACTTTCCACTTGTCTCATACTTGCCTTGTGTCTTAGGCTCCTTCACCCATTCATCCCTATCCTATTCATTGCTAGTAAGTGCCGTTTAAAAAGTAAAATACAGATATTGTTACCCAATAAAGGGTTAAACACTTTAAAGTTTGAAAAGTACATAATTTCTTGCTGTGGTTTAGAAGAAAAAGCGCTAAACGGGAGTCAGAACCTTGATCTTCCTCCTACTGAATGAAAAGCCTTAGAGAAAGTAGTTTAACATTTATGGGCCTGTTTCTTTGTGTATAAAGTATAAATACAGTTTACCTGTGAACAACAGAGGTTTAAACTGCCCGGGTCCACTTACATGTAGATATTTTTCAACAGTAAATGCTGCAATACTACGTGGTCCCTGGTTGGTTGAATCTGCAGACCTCAGCTATGGAGGGCCGACTATAAATTATATGTGGATTAAGGGTCAACTGTAGTACATTCTTTTACCATATCCACCTAAAGCAGTTAGAAGCAAATGAAACTGAGCTGTTAGTTGCTAATTATAGTAATTCTTCCTTATTTGGACATGACTAAGATGCTTAAATAAATATTTAGGAGAGAATTTTTTTTAATTGAAGTATAGTTGATTTACAATATTGTGTTAGTTTCAGGAGTATAGCACAGTGATTCATTATTTTTGCAGATTATATACCATTATAGGTTATTATAAGATAATGGGTATAATTCCCTGTGCTATACAGTAAATTCTTTTGCTTATCTATTTTATGTATAGTAGTTTATATCTGTTAATCCCATACTTTTAATTTGTCCCTCCCCTCTTCCCTCTCTCCTTTGGTAACCATAAGTTTGTTTTCTATGTCTGTAAGTCTGTTTCTGTGTTGTAGATAAGTTCATTTGTATCATTTTTTTAGATTCCACATATAAGTGATGTCATATGATTTTGTCTTTCTCTGTCTGAACTTAGTATGATAATCTCTAGGTCCATCCGTGGTGCTGCAAATGGCATTAGTTCTTTTTTTTAATGGCTGAGTAATATTCCACTGTGTGTGTGTGTATACACAAACACACACACTTGCACACACACATCTTTGTCCATTCATCCGTCGATGGACATTTAGGTTGCTCCCATGTCTTGGCTGTTGTAAATAGTGCCGTGAATACTGGGGTGCATGTATCTTTTAGAATTAGAGTTTTCGTCTTTTCCAGATATATGCCCATATAAGTGATACCATATAGTATATGTCTTTCTCTGTCTGACTTATTTAACTAAGCATAATATTCTCTAAGTCCATCACTGTTGCTGCAAATGGCATTATTTCATTCTTTCTTATGGCTGAGTAATATTCCATGGTATATATTCCATATCTTCTTAATCCATTCATCTGTTGATGGACACTTGGGTTGCTTTCGTGTCTTGGCTACTGTAAATAGTGCTGTGAACATTGGGGTGCATGTATCTTTTAGAACTAGTGTTTTCTTTTTTTCCAGATATATACCCAGAGGTGGAATTGCTGGATTATATGGTAGTTCTATTTTTATCAATAGTTTTTTAAGGAACCTCCATACTGTTTTCCATAGTGTCTGCACCAATTTACATTCCCACCAGCAGTGTACAAGGGTCCCTTTTATCCACATCCTCTATTTAGGAGAGAATTCTTTTTTTTTTTTTTTAATTTTTTGGCTGCACCACATGGCATGTGGGGTCTTAGTTCTCTGACCAGGGATCAGACCTGTGCCCCCTGCATTGACAGCACAGAGTCTTAACCACTGGACTGCCAGGGAAGTCCCTCAGAGAGAATTCTTTTAAATCTGAACTTTATAACTGCCAAAATGAAAGTTGGTAATCTCAACTCTAATGTCCATTAACACATAAATGGGTAAACAAATTGTGGTATATCTTTGGTAAGGAATACTATTCAGCAATAATAAGGATATATAAGTTGGGAATTTTAAATGCCTATTCTCAGTATCTTCCAGTTTTGCCTGTGAATGTTATTTTAGATGTGTTTTCTTTTGGGACTCTTCTTGTCAAGGAACAGATGACAATGAATGGTGAGACTGAGATTTCCACTTGCTTTTGTTACAGAGAACTTGCTTAGAATGATATAGCCATAGGTGGAAAAGGTAAGGTCTAAATCTCTTAGCATTTCTTCTTCTCCTTGATAATTTTTCTTGATAATCTCGGAATAAGAAAAAAATATTTTAACAAAAGGTAGTTTGTGATAAGAAAAAGGTAGCAAGTTGTAAAATAATAAGTGGTACAGGAAAAATTAATGTACACTAAATTAGCAGATGTGTCACACAGTTTCTAAAAACCTTTAATATCATTTATATACAATAAAATTCACCGATTTTAAGTGTGTAATTCCATGAGTTTTGACAAATGTATACAGTCATGTAACCATACCATAACTGAAGTATAAAATGTTTTTGTCACCCCTGAAAAGTCCCCTTCATACCGCTCTGCTGTCAGTCCTCTCTCCATTCCCTGGCAACCACTAATCTGTTTTCTATCATTGTAATTATGTCTTTTTAAGAATTTCCCATAAATGAATTCACAAGAGTATAGTCTTTTGTGTCTGACTTATTTCATTTAACATAATCCTTTTGAGATTCATCATTTTTGCATGTATCAGTTGTTCCCTTTTTATGTATTTTCTTTCTGTCTTCATCATGTTTCCTCTACTTTTCTGAATGTATGGAGTATATTTATAATAGCATTTTTGTATCGTTGTCTGCTAATATTCTGTCATTTCTGGTCTGTTTCTATTGATAGACTTTTCTCCTAGTTGGTGGGTCATATTTTCCTGTTTCTTTGAATGCCTAGAATTTTTTATTATACGTCACACATTGTGAATTTTACATTACTAGGGGCTGCATTTTGTATTCATTTAGGTAATAATGTTGGACTTTGTTCTTGGAATCAATTGGATCCTTTTAAGACTTGCTTTTAAGGGGTGTTAGGGTGGGCCAGAGCAAGTTTTAGTCTAGGGCTAATTTAGCTCCACTACTAATGTGATTCTGAGGTCTTTCCATTTTGGTTGGTGAAAATAGAAGCTATTCCCAACTGTATGAGTGCTGGGAATTGTTCAGTCTGCTGCTTTCTGTTGGAGCTTTCTCCAGCCCCTCATAGTTTCTTCTCATACGTGTTCAGATCAGCACTTTGCCATATGCTCTTCTGTAGACCCCCAAAGGTCTCTCTGTGCACCTTCCTCCTCCCCTGTTGTGTGCCCAGTAAATTCTAGCCACCTTAGCCTCCCCAACTCCAAAATCTGATGTCTTCAACTGACAAGACTAGGTCCCCACTCCTGGAGCAGCCCGGGACCTGTCTCCAGGTGGTATGAGGATAATCCAGAGACTCACTTCTGTTTTCCCTTCTCTGCAGCAGCACAGTCCCCCACTGCCTGGGGCCCAATGTCTGAAAACCATTTTGTAATATACTCTGTCCAGCTTTCTGTTGTTTACAAACAGGAAAGAAAATCCGGTTCCTAGTACTTTATCATGGCTGGAAGTGGAAGTCTCTTATTCTAAATGTAGAGTAAGCATGTGTTGGTATTTCTAGGGGAAAATTAGAGTACGTGGTTCATCAGTTGTCAACATAAACTTAACATACCTTAATGTCTGTTTTAATATGTGTAAGATGTATGTCGTAACTTAAGTGATGTTCTTCAGTGCTCACACTAATCTAAGCTTGTATGTGCTTCTCCGGTCAACTTGAAGTTATTTACATATAGAGTATTAATTTGGGCTTGTTTGTAGCAAACTTATCTCGAGTAGTTTCCCATCAATGACGGATATGTTAGTGTTTTGATTCTAAGGACATTTGTTAGTCATCTGTATTTGCAATTGATTAACTTACCTTTGAACTGTATGGTTGTATTTTTTAAAATATGAATTTGCTGGCTTTCTAATATATGTGAAAATGACTGCAACCTTTTCTTATTTGTGAGTATTTGTGATTTAGAAAACCATAAAACAGTTCTTCGCCCTTTGCAAGCTGATCTTTTGAATTTATGTCTTGCTCTCTGTAACAGAACGATTGTTTTTGGACATCCGTTCATAGATTGACCTACCATAAAGTCAAAACCAGGCCAAATATTTAGTCAATCAGCAGTTAGAGAAATGTGTGTCTTAATCCATTTGTGTTTTAGGGAAGATGAACAAAGTAGGATTAAAAATATGACTTTTACATTATTATATGTGTATGCTATTGCTGTCTGGTAGTTGTTTTAGGGAAATGGTAACATAAACTCTTAAGAGGAAAATATGGGGCTCTGAAAGGTTCTGTCTCTGGTCTTATGTGTAAAATTATTTGCAGCACGGTTTTTGGAATGAATATTGAAGTTGAGAGGCCTAGCTTCTAGTCAACTGTGCCACTCAGTATTGTGTAACTGTAGGCCACTCACAACCTTTGTGAGTCTCCTAATATATAAAATGAAAATGATAATAATTATCCAACCTACTGTAAAGGGGTGGTAGAGTGTTAAATGAGGTAGTATCAATGAAAATGTTTGAAGATGCTAATGTGCCATGGAAATACTGGTCATTAAACTTTATTTTGTACATTACTATAAAGTCTGCTATCAACACCTACTATGACAGAATACAAACGCAAGATATATTTGTTTCTACTTATATTCCATACAGTTTACTGTGCAAAAATATTTTATATGGGAAAGGAAGAAACAAAACATAGAATTGATTGATAGAATAGAGATGGAGGAGATTGCTGTCTTTTTCCACTTCTTCTTTCTTAGTATTATTTTGTTTCCCTCCCCATGATTTTCCAGGCAAAGAGTGTATACAGCAGTTAGCTGAAAACGTCAGATATTTCAGGAGGCGTCTGAAAAATATGGGCTTCATCATCTATGGAAATGAAGATTCTCCAGTGGTGCCTCTGATGCTCTACATGCCAGCCAAAATTGGGTACCTTTTTGCAGATTACAGATTGCCCTCTTATTAGACTTAAGGTTTACCATGATGTGAGACCAGGCTTATATATTTTGTTAGGTAAAATTGTCTTGGCCTCATTATGTTAACCTTTGTTTGCTAGATCTGCCGTAGATTAAACAAGTGGATTCCAATTTGTAAAATATGTTAACTTGTTAGTCTTTCCTTAAACAAACATTTGAGTTTAATGCACTCTTCTGGGGGATTGAGATAGATCAGTGAACAAAACACAGAAAAATCCATGTCCTTGTGGGGTTATGCTCTACTGGGGCAAGAGTCAGACAAACGTAATAAATAAAGAAATTATGTAATATGCCAGAAAGTGTTAAGGGCTATAGGAAAAAATAGAGCAGGATATGGGGTTTGAGAGTGCACTGTGGGTGGGCAGATTACAGTATTAAATGGGGTGGTCACCCTCGACAGCCTCAGGGGTAAGGGAAGATGACATCTGAGCTTGAACTAGCTGAGCAAGTTAGCCACTTGGAGGAAGAAGCTTCTGTGCAAAGGCCACAATGCAGGAACATACTTAGCTGATGGAAGACTAGCAGGAGGTGAGTGGAGCTGAAGTGCAGTGCCCAAGGGGGAACAGTGAGCCATGAGGTCAGATGTGCACTTTACACCAGCCTCTCTGGCCTGTGCAAGGCGTGTATAATGGAAATCTTTGCCCTGGAATAGCTTTCAGTGTATTTGGGAAGTACAGATGTATAACGAAACCAAAATATATATGAAAAGCAGATATGAAGTGGACAAATCTAATTATTTGCAAAATAATTATGTGCAAAATTGCACCAGAGATATAAAATAAAGGAGTCAGACTTCCCTGGTGGCGCAGTGGTTAAGAATCCGCCTGCCAACGCAGGGGACACGGGTTTGATCCCTGGTCCAGGAATATCCCACATGCCGCGGAGCAACTAAGCCCGTGCACCACAACTACTGAGCCTGCGCTCTAGAGCCTGCGAGCCACAACTGCTGAGCCTGTGTGCCACAACTACTGAAGCCCACGCACCTAGAGCCCACGCACCGCAACGAAGAGTAGCCCCCACTTGCCGCAACTAGAGAAAGCCCGTGCACAGCAAAAAAGACCCAACACAGCCAAAAATAAATAAATTTATTTTAAAAATAAAATAAAGGAGTCATCTGCTTAGTATAGGTTCAGTAAAAAAGGCACATCTTTTCAGATTTGTGAGTTTTGACTGGATTGTAAATATAAAATTGAGTAAGGATCATTTCTCAGGTTTAATGGAACTCATTAAAGGAGCAAATATTTCTATTCATCTTTGAATCCCCAGCACGCACCACAGCCCCTTGCACTCAATAAACGTTGATTAAAGTGAATATAGGAGGGAAAATTAAATCAGGGAACCTGGAAGTATGGTGATTCCAAAGTTAGTGAATGGGGGATATTGGGAAAGGGTGCTCATTGAGGGAAAAAGAGGAGTTTAGTTTCCAGTAGGAAGTCATATGGGCAATTGGCATTATGGCCTTCAGAGGAGATGGAGGAAATGAGGGAATCCTACACCAAAGCAGAAGTGTAGGATTTCCCTCATTCTTCTTTAAATGGAATTATCGTCATAAATAAACTCAAAAAGTTACCTGTTCTGGAGGATTGACTTAGTCTAGAACGCTTTCTTTAGAGAGGACTGTGTCTAATTTATTCTATACAGGTGAAACTGACTATGTACATTATAATTAAGATTTAGAGAGAGTAAGGCAGAATTGGAATAAAGCACTAGACAGTTCGGGAGCATGTGCTAAAGATGCAGGACTTGGCCTGACACAAAGGAAACACATTGAAGAGGATGTACTGTTACTAGGAGTGGGGAAAGCTGGTGCTATTACTAAAGTGAGTGGAATTTTTTATTCTCAAACAAATGCTTTAAACAGCTAAGGGAAAAGTCAGAAAGGAATAAGGTAGGTCAACAAGAGAAAAGGACAAAGAATAACGTAATTTAGTAAATAACAAAATTTACATGAAAGTTAGAATTGTGTTAATTAGGGCAAGATACAGATGTAGAGTAAGGTCACATGCCACGAGTTTGACTTGGGATGGGGGCGTTAAACAAGAACTGTGTGGTCTGGGTGGTCATCTGAAGTCTGGGGATGAGCTGGCCTCACAAACACCAAAGGAATCCCTGAATTACAAAGGCAGCTCAACACTTAAGTCCATCCAAAAAATGCCTGGTCTGGAAGGCTAGTGCTTAGCCTTTCTGCCAGCAGAAAGATGTCCAGATCCTTTGCATCCTTAAGCTTAAGAATTTTTTAAACTGCCAAGCCTGCAAGGACCAGGTTTTAAACTCAAGTTCATTTTGAAACCTCTGAACCACTGTTACATGTCAGTGACACCTTAAGGCTACAGTTGCAAATTACTTTAGGCAAGCCCTATTAAAAATTGGTCTGTGCCAACAATATTCTTTCACCTTTCTGAAGGAAACTATTTGGGATAAGACCACTTTAGGATTGAATAAAAGAAGTCTTTGTAAACTGTCAATTTTAACTTTCATAGAAGTTAGAAGAAATTCCTAATAGAACTGTCTAGTGCCTGTATCACCCAAGAGTTTACATCATTCAGGCCTTTGTACTGTGTGATTTATTATTCTCCCTGGTTTCTTTTCTTGTTTTCCCTCTGCAGCGCCTTTGGACGGGAGATGCTAAAGCGGAATATCGGTGTCGTTGTGGTAGGATTTCCTGCTACCCCAATCATTGAGTCCAGAGCCAGGTTTTGCCTGTCAGCAGCTCATACCAAAGAAATGCTTGATACTGTAAGTAGACATTTTCACTTTGATATAATATACCTTATACTAAGAAGGCCTGTGTATCAGGTGAACTTAATCATCTGTTGGTCCTGATGCTCTCTGGGCACCTGAGGTGTTTACTGGTGAAGTAGAGGAGGGAGTGCACAATGCTGCTTAATACATTGCTGTTTACAAAAAATTGCACAACTGGTAGCATCGCCCACCAGACCCTGCATGATCAGGGCTTTAGGGAATTTTCTGGCTTCATCTTGTTCCACTCTCTCTCATTATGATCTCTACAGCTCTACATTCTCTTTCTACTCTAGCTGTTTCTCCCCTGAGCTTTCTTGGGCGTTGTTCTGTCTGTGGCAGTTTCTCTCTTGACCTTTCTCTCCCCTTTGCCTGGCTGACTGCTACTCATTCTTAACATCTCCACTTAAAAGAAACTTGCTCAAGGGTTTTCCCAAACCCTCTAGGCTAGATATTTCTGGAAATCCTAAGACTCTCCCCTAGGAAATTCTTTACACCTGTAATTATTTAATGGCAATCTTTGCCATTAGATAAATCTTTAGGAGGAACTAAGTCTATTTTTCTCATTCTGTATCCCCAGGACCTACCACAGTGCCAGGCACATAGTAGGAGCTCATAATTATTACTGAATGTAATTATTTATGGCCTCTTAATATGTTCTCATCTCTTGATATTCTCTTAATATGCTATTATTTCACACCTGAGACTTCAGACTTTTTTTTTTAGCATTTTTTGTTTAATTTTTTTTTTTTTAGAATTTCTAGTGTATTTTTCCCTTTTGAATTTTTTCTTATCCTTCTGTTGGTTTATTTTGCTATTATTTTCTAACTTTTTGATTTGGATATGGATTTTCCAATGAACACCATGTCAGTGGAATCCCACATATTTTAGTAAAGCACACCTTCGTATCAATATCAGTATTTCTAATGTTTTTCTTATTTCTCTCTGAATTAGGATTGGCTTATTAATTTTTTAAAAATATTTATTTTATTTTTGGCCGCGTCGGGTCTTAGTTGCGGCATGCGGGATCTTCATTATGGCATGTGGGATCCTCCGCTGCGGTGCACAGGCTTCTCTCTAGTTGTGGCATCTGAGCTTAGTTGCCCTGCAGCATGTGGGATCTTAGTGCCCCGACCAGGGATCGAAGCTGCGTCCATTATACTTTTAAATTCTAGTCCCTCTAATATGTATATTGGATAACATGATGACTTTAGATTGTATTTCCCTAATCACAAATGTTGTTGAACCTTTTTTTTTTAATGTGCTCAGTTGCCATCTGTGTATCTTCTGTGATAAAGTATCTGTACAAGTTCATGTCCAAGTTTCATTGTTTATCTTTTATTTTCATATTATCAAGTTTTTAGAGGTCTTTTAGGCTATTATTCATATTCAGCATCATTTTTTGAAGAAAGGCTATCATTCCTCCATGTGTTTTCCTTAACAACTTTGTCAAAAATCAGTTGAATATATTGTGTAAATTCATTTCTGAAAAGTCTGTTCTGTCTCATTGATTTAGGTGTCTGTCTTCTCACCAGTATCTTGATTATTTTTATTTTTAAAAAAATTTTTATTTTATATTGGAGTATAGTTGATTTACAATGTTGTGTGAGTTTCAAGTGTACAACAGTGATTCAGTTTATACATGTACATATATCTATTCTTTTTCAGATTCTTTTCTCATATAGGTTATTACAGAGGAGTGAGTAGAGTTCCCTGAGCTGTACAGTAGGTCCTTGTTATCTATTTTATATCTAGTCGTGTGTATATGTTCATCCCAAACTCCTAATTTATCCCACACCCCCACCATTCCCTTTTGGTAACCATAAGTTCGTTCTCTAAGTCTGTGGGTCTATTCCTGTTTTGTAAATAAGTTCATTTGTATCATTTCCTTAGATTCCACATATAAATGTTATCATATGATATTTCTCTTTCTCTGACTTCACTTAGTATGACAATCACTAGGTCCATCCACGTTGCTGCAAATTATTTCATTCTTTTTTATGGCTGAGTGATGTTCCATTGTATATATTACCACATCTTCTTTATCCATTCCTCTGTTGATGGACATTTAGGTTGTTTCCATGTCTTGGCTATTGTAAATAGTGCTGCTAGGAACATAGGGGTGCACGCATCTTTTTTAATTTTAGTTTTGTCTGGATATATGCCCAGTAGTGGGACTGCTGGATCATATGGTAGTTCTAGTTTTAGTTTTCTGAGGAACCTCCATACCGTTTTCCACAGTGGCTGCACCAGCTTACATTCCCACCAAGAGTGTAGGAGGGTTCCCTTTTCTCCACACCCTCTGTAGCATTTATTGTTTGTAGACTTTGTAGACTTTTTTTTTTTTGAAGTGTGTGCAGTGGTGAAGAGTACCATGATGTCTAGTCAAGCCTGGTCCACTGTTTGTTTGTTTGTTTTTTTTGGCTGCATTGGGTCTTCATTGATGCTCCCGGGCTTTCTCTAGTTGCGGTGAGCAGGGGCTACTCTTCGTTGCAGTGCGTGGGCTTCTTGTTGCGGTGGCTTCTCTCATTGTGGAGCACGGGCTCTAGGTGCGTGGGCTTCAGTAGTTGTGGCACGCAGGCTCAGTAGTTGTGGCTTGCAGGCTCTAGAGCACAGGCTCAGTAGTTGTGGCACATGGGCTTAGTTGCTCTGTGGCATGTGGGATCTTCCCAGACCAGGGCTCAAACCTGTGTCCTTTGCATTGGCGGGTGGATTCTTAACCACTGCGCCACCAAGGAAGCCCTGTTAGTAGACTTTTTGATGATGGCCATTCTGACCGGTGTGAGGTGATACCTCACTGTAGTTTTGAGTTGCTTTTCTCTAATAATTAGTGATGTTAAGCATCTTTTCATGTGCTTTTTGGCCCTCTCTATGTCTTCTTTGGGGAATTGTCTGTGTAGATCTTTGCTCATTTTTTGATTAGGTTGGTTGTTTTTGTGTATTGAGCTGCACGAGCCATTCGTATATTTTGGAAATTAACCCTTTGTCGGTCGCATCACTTGCAAATATTTTCTCCCATTCTCTGGGCTGTCTGTTTGTTTGTTTATTTATTTATTTATTTGGCTGCGTTGGGTCTTCATTGCTGCACGCAGCCTTTCTCTACTTAGCGGTGAGTGGGGTCTACTCTTCATTGTGGTGCATGGGCTTCCCATTGCCGTGGCTTCTCTTGTTGCAGTGCATGGGCTCTAGGCATGCGGGCTTCAGTAGTTGTAGTGCGTGGGCTCAGTAGTTGTGGTACGCAGGCTCTGGGTCACATGGGCTTCAGTAGTTGTGGCACATGGGCTTGGTAGTTGTGGCTCACAGGTTCTAGAGCGCAGCGTCAGTAGTTGTGGCGCATGGGCTTAGTTGCTCCGCCGCATGTGGGATCTTCCCAGACCAGAGATTGAACCCGTGTCCCCTGCATTTGCAAGCGGATTCTTAACCACTGTGCCACCAGGGAAGTCCTGTCTCTTTGTTTGATTATGGTTTCCTTTGCTGTGCAGAAGCTTTTAAGTTTAATTAGATCCCATTTGTTTACTTTTGTTTTTATTTTCATTACTCTAGGAGGTGGATCCGAAAAGATATTGCTGCGATTTATGTCAAAGAGTGTTCTGCCTATGTTTTCCTCTAAGAATTTTATAGTATCTGGTCTTACATTTAGGTCTTTAATCCATTTTGAGGGGTTTTTTGTATACGGTGTTAGAGAATGTTTTGATTTCATTCTTTTACATGTAACTGTCCAGTTTTCCCAGCACCGCTTATTGAAGAGATTGTCTTTTCTCCATTGTATATCCTTGCCTCCTTTGTCACAGATTAATTGACCATAGGTTCATGGGTTTATTTCTGGGCTTTCTATCCTGTTCCGTTGATCTATAAGTCTGTCTTTGTGCCCATACCATGCTGTTTTGATTACTGTAGCTTTTATCGTATAGTCTGAAGTCAGTATAGCCTGATTCCTCCAGGTCCATTTTTCTTTCTCAGGATTGCTTTGCCTATTCAGAGTCTTTTATGTCTCCATATAAATTTTAAGATTTTTTGTTCTAGATCTGCAAAAAATGCCCTTGGTGATTTGATAGGGATTGCATTGAATCTGTAGATTGCCTTGGGTAGTATAGTCATTTTGACAATATTGATTCTTCCAATCCAAGAACATGGTTTATCTTTCCATCTGTCTGTGTCATCTTTGATTTCTTTCATCAGCATCACATAGTTTTCAGAGTACAGGTCTTCTGCCTCTGTAGGAAGGTTTATTCCTAGGTATTTTATTCTTTTTGATGTGACGGCAAATGGGATTGTTTCCTTAATTTTGCTTTCTGATCTTTTGGTGTTAGTGTATAGGAATGCAACAGATTTCTGTGTATTAATTTTGTATTCTGCAACTTTACCAAATACATTGATGAGCTCTAGTAGTTTTCTGGTAACATCTTTAGGATTTTCTATGTATAGTACCATGTCATCTGCAAACAGTGACAGTTTTACTTCTTTTCCAATTTGGATTCCTTTTATTTCGTTTTCTTCTCTGATTTCTGTGTCTAGGACTTTCAAAACTATGTTGAATAAAAGTGGCAAGAGTGGACATCATTGTCTTGTTACTGATCTTAGAGGAAATGCTTTCAACTTTTCACCATTGAGTATGATGTTAGCTGTGGGTTTGTCATATATGGGCTTTACTATGTTGAGGTAGGTTCCCTCTTCTTTTGGCTGCACTACGTGGCTTGTGGGATCTCAGTTTCCCAACCAGGGATCAAGCCCAGGTCACTGCAGTGATAGCACTGAATACTAACCACTAGGCCACCAGGCAACTCCCAGAAGTAGGTTCCCTCTATGCTCACTTTCTGGAGAGTTTTTATCATAAATGGGTGTTGAATTTTGTCAAAATTCTGCATCTATTGAGATGATCATATAGTTTTTATTCTTCAATTTGTTAATGTGGTGTATCACACTGATTGATTTGCGGACATTGAAAAATTCTTGTATCCCTGGGATAAATCTCACTTGGTCATGGTGTATGATCCTTT